TTATGGCTTCTGTGGCTGTTATATCCTCTTTGAGACAAATAGATCAGTTAGAAATATAGAATATGCTTGAAGAATATGAGTTAGGCCAAATTTACTGATGGTCTGTGCCTGTGTTGGGTACTACCAGGTCAGTAGCTGTGGATTACTGGTTTGTATGTGTAACAAAAAGATAATGTTTTTAATCACTGTAAAAGCAGAGTGCTTTTACACAAGAGCGTTTCTTTCAGATACAGAAACCTCTTCTTTGGTGTTTAAGCATAAAAGCTTACACAATATGTAATTCATATTGTGAACTTTCAAGTATTCTAGGAGTTTTGAAAACCGATGAAATTACTATTTTGTCTAAAATAAAGAAATAAGATATAGACAGGCAAATTGTAAGAATTCCTGGCAGCGCAACGCCGCGCGGGGCTCTCTCTAAGCCTGGTTATCCTTCTTTTCTTGGGTATATGTCTTGGAGGTTCCTTCAAGGGAGTCAGACATGTCATCATCATACTTGTCAGTTTGACTACAGGCTACTGGAGCGGCTTTCTTTTTGGTAGAGTATCCCCCCTGAGTCTTGCTGTCTTCCAATTTAAGCATCCGTTTTGCCAGAGCAGCAGTAGATTTTCCATCCCATCTTTTCATGTTTTCTCCACAGTCACGTAGGAAAAACCACAGCTCAGCTCGTAGCTTTTTCTCTCTATCTGGGGAACTTCTGAATTTGTTCACGTGAAAATTCCCAGGCTGGGGGATCAGAAAACTCCTTCAGAGTCCGGCCCATTCTCTCCCATTCTCTACACCACTCAAGATTTCCCACACCTGAGTCTACTTCTGGGGCAGGGGTCTCGTTGGCTCCTCTGGATATCTCAGCCCTCACTCTAGAGAAGTTGCAGACCATATAGAGGAAGCTCAACAGCTGAACTACCAGGAAAGTGACCAGGAATGTGGTATCCTTAACACTCAGGGGAAACTGGATATTCTCAAAGAGGGACATAACAGATTCAAAGGAGAAGAAGGAAAGAAAAGGCTGAAAAGCCTCATCCCCTGGTCTTCCTCTAACAAACTGTGTGCAATTACCAATAAACTCCCAAAATGTGCTACTGGGACTGGGAGGCAGGGTTGGGCGAAGAAACCATAAACCAATTTTCCATAGTTTATACAGTATATTTCACATTACATTTGAATTCTTTCAGAGCTGCCTTGATTGTCACTCTAGGATAAATCATAAATTACATCATAGGCAGCTTGGAAAAAGGCTGTTGCCTTAGGAATATTATTAATAAAGATAAAGGCTTTCAAGGTAAAAGATATACAATCAAATACTTGTCTGGCTTATGCACACAACATCGGAATCTTGTTCAAGTTTGACTGATAGGCTATTAGAATGATTTATTTGTACTTAAGGCAAATAGTATTCATTTGTAGATCTCTGAAATATGCTAACTATAAATGTATTAAGAAGGTACACTATATGAGTAAACCTACCAAATCTGACAATAGGCCCTATCTCAAACTTCTCCCACACATAGGTGCTCTGTGTCTCTTAACAACAGCAATATGGAAATTCTTCTCTCAGATCCTGCCCCTATCTATGTCTTGTTGACCTTGTTTTTGACCATCTAAACTCTTGGGGAGTGGAATCTTGCCGCCAAGTGTCAGGCTACAAACAAGGTACTCTGGATGAAGCTTTTTGCCAAAGTGAGATTGAATGTGTAATTATGGTCACACTCAGATATTCCATGACATGTGAGGATTCTTTGTGGCAATTTGTATGGAACACAAGTGATATGTACTAATATACTATTAGCCATGCTAGTATCACAAATCTACCTTTGGTCTTCCATGTAATACTGAATATAGTCAAATACTCTGCAATCAATACCTGCAGTGTATTTGATTTGGTTAAAAGAAAGTGCCAATCTCTTCCTATTACCTAAAATAGAAAAATAATAATGTACATATGCAAAACATGAACCCTAGCCTTTCCCAATGAAAAAGTAAAACATGAATTAAATATTTTTCTTATGTATTTAAATAAGATAGAGAATTTGGATGATTTAATAATGCCTCTTTCTGTGAGTCTTGGCTGACATTTATTGTTGCAGTCATGGCAATGCTCACTGGTCATAGAATGATGGGTTACTGGTATCACACATCTGAAGGTGATCCTTTCGGTCCTCAAATATGCAGAATACTACACAGAAAGCCATTAGTGAATATTACAGCTGTGGCAGTAGAAACATTCTGCAATGTGGACTATAGACGAGAATACTTTTATTTTCAAACACCTTTCAGCTTTTTTAACATGTGAAGAATTTTTCTTGTTCCTGCAATTCTCCCCTTGCACTAATAAAAATTGCTGACAAATGCAGTCTTATTTGCAGCCATTAATTCTTAGCTGTACAAAATCACCTGAACAGTTTTCTAACAAGTTTTTTTTTCATTTAGAGGTAGCTTTTGTCTACTCTTTCATTAATCATAAAATCTGCTTTGGATTTGAGTGGACTTACTAGGTCAACAGACCTTGAATTGGAGAAGATAGTTTTATGGTCTACTGAGAAACCAGTTTTACATGGAAATGAAATACAAGACAAGGGTTGGAAAATGTTAAGGCTGTAGTATAAAGTAAAACATACCTGTGTGAGCCAAGGACAGAATACTAGCCACTTTTAATTTCCTGACTTTTGTTAGCTTGTAATTCAGTGCTTTTATTTAAATGCTTTTGCCTGCAATTTTACAACTTATTTGGAGAGACATATTGGCCAGCTTCTGAGCTACTGTATGCTGACAACAGTTAATCATGTGTTTCTTTGTCTTCTAGTGAAACTCAAGATTCTTATGTTTATGTTGTTCTTATTTTTCATGATTTGTAGTATAATTAGGAGTGGCTGGCTTGGCTGTTTTTGGTGCTTTGTACATATTAAGTTTCATTGCCCAGTGTGTGGGAATGTATACAGCATTTACCAGCTCATTAACCTCTTTAAATTGGCTGCAGAATGGATGATTTCCTGTCACCATCACAGGTCAGTGGATGCATTGCATTCTAATGGACTCTTTCTAGATTATTTGAAAAATGTTAAGCTACTACAGAACTGATTGATTGATTGGCATGATTTTTCTAATTTATGTGGGTTTTGTTCTAATTTATGGATTTTTTTATGGGGGGCAAATCTAGATAAGATAATAGGTTAATGTTATTTTTCTGAAGTCAGAAAGGCAAATGCTGACTAAGAAAACAGGTGATCCGGTTCCTCTACAAAATGTAAATATTTTACACGCACACATCACATTTCAGGGACACTCAGTATAGAGAGTGTTTGGACAAGGATGAAATGCATATGACTGTGTGGTCTCACTGGTATACTTGAGTATTTGTAAGCATCTGCCCTGGATCTGTTCTGAGGAATTTAACAAGATGACGAAGGTGGCCTTTGATTCTATGTGCTAAAAGAAGTGTCCTTCACAAAAGCCGTTATGTATTTAATTGAAGAGATCTATAAACCTTATTTGCTCAGTGGGCTATGGCAGGGTTGACACCATTATTCTTTCAAATGTTACTGAGTCAAATTTGCATAGGTAGGCAATTTTGCTGTTCAGTCAAGTAGAATACATCACGAGAAAGTGCTTGAAAACTAGAAGATTCTGGGTTTGTGTTAACTGGGTACCTGAATTTTCTTTTCTGAGTACTTGCCTCAAAAAGAGCAGTCTTGGCATTATTTTCTGCTAGTTTATCAGCAAGTAGAGCTTGTCCAGATTGTCATGTCAAAACTTATGAAGTCACTAAAGAATTGCCAAAAGTCCCAGCCCATCAGAAACATTAAGAGAGCAAATATTAATACGACAGTGATGAAATATACTTTCCTGTTCATGTAGGCAGCACATACATAGAACTTGCTTACAGGTGGCTGAATACTAAGAGATGTTGTCAGTAGTGAAGTTAGCAGACCACAAAGCCCTTTATGTCAGTTTCTGACTCTATCCAAGCTCTGTGAGATTGTCATGAACAGGCATGAGAAAGCTTTGTGACTGACTCAAAGTTCATTAATTATAGATACTCTGGATTAATCACATAGGCTCATCACAGAGTGTAATTTAAGACTCCATCTTAAGATCAAGAGGAGTCAATCTGCATGTCATATTGCAAAAATGAGATAGATGTCATATATTAGATTTTATGCATTAACCTAATAACCTTGTCACAAATAGTAGGACTTTTCCTATCCAGGATTTTTACTTAAAGGAATGCCTTTGATTTGTTTGTGTCACTGAAAACCACAGTACAGATTACAGACTCAAAGCTAACTTTTAAATGTGCTATTCAAGGTGCTTAGTGAAAAGAAACGTACTTTTACTGAGTATAATTTGTTTGCTTTAACTGGAAGTGATTACTAAGTCTTTTCATAAATATTTACAGCTTGGCACTATGCTGAAATCAAAGTCCCTGTTCATCACAACACTGACACACCTCAGCTCATAACTTAAAGTTAATTGATTTGATAAATGGGTACTGAATATCTGTAGGTTTCTGTTGCAGTCATGATGTTCTCTGCTACTGGCATATTATGAGAATCTTTGAGATTCCAAGGAATGTATAATTGGATGCATATTTTTTCCCTGGCCTTGACGTATCATCATCATAATATTATATACTACATATTATGCTTTTATTTACATCTGAATCTCTTCTTAATTTTAAAATGTCACAATCAGGAGCTTCTAGTTTTCAGTTATTAATGCAATGACAGAATTTAACTGTTCTATCACATACTGTTCATACATTGTTATTATTGAAATTAGTTTTCTCTGTCGACCTCAATACTGGAACAAGTTGGTTTTTTCAACTTTTGCTTGTACAAGTTGAAGTTGGGTGTTCATGACACTCATTAACCCCAAAACTATATTTTATGTATCAGTATTGTTTAAAAATTTTCATTCCACGATTTGTTGCCTTGTTTTTAATATGCTGTATGATATTGCAGTTCACCTAATTTTATTTAATTTCCTTTTCCCTAATGCAGGGTTGGGAAGAAACTGTGGATGCTGCAGTCTCTTACTTGTTAAGAACTTGTTTGTCAAAGAGCTCCAAGGAGCAGGCCCTGACTCTCAGCAGCCAGTTGTCCATGCCCAAAGATACCAGCAAACTGAAGAAGAACATCACCCTCTTCTGTGATAGATTGGCCAAAGGTGGTCGCCTTTCATTAAGTACAGACTCAGCCACTCAGCAAGCATCTGTCATGCCAGGTAAGATACGAATTTCATTAATGTTCAGAATCCAAAATATTTATTTACATATTAAAACTAAAAATTTTGGACATTTTATTTTCTTGGCAGTTTGTTTTTCATTGATTGTGGCAACCAAGCCCTGTTTGTGTTGCTGATAAGTAGAATTACTTAGGTAATAAGATAATTTCAAATCTGGAGTTTTTTTCTCATTTTATTCAACACTTACTGTTGCTCATACAATTTGCACAGTAATGCAGCAAATGAAACACAGATGGTCATTGTTATGCTGAAAATTCTTGTCACTTATTTCTTTACACTTTTCAATTGGATGTGTGCATGTGTATGTTTCTAATGTGATGGAAAAAGTAGTGAAATTTCTCCTTTCTTAATAAAGAAATTAATATATTTGTATTAGTGTCTTTATGGCATATCCGTATCATAAATCATGAGGTAGTGATAACACTAAATAAAAAGAATCTACAACTTCTGAAAGTACTAGTTGACTGGGTGATATCACACAGAAAGCATTGAATTGAAGATGAAACTAATTTAAGTATATGTTGAATAATATTTCCCACATAGAATAAGAATGTGGGCAAGATTTCGCAGTGCACAATGATTTACATGAATGTCATGGAATTACTATTTTTAAAGGAAATTTCATTCATGTCCTTTTCTATATTCCTACTTTTTAGTTATAGTGGGAGCAAAGTTACACTTTTTCTGTGGAGTCTGAAGTTTAGCATCTTTGTGCTGTTGCAAGATATTTTTTTCCTGCCATTTTCCTCCAGAGAGACAGATAGACTGACTCTTAGTAAACATCAGATACTCCTGGTGACTTGGAAACAGGTATTTTTCCCCATCTTTCTGCTTCAAATCTGGATTGGCTGTTCATTCAGCTTCATACTCTCCTGTGTCACTATGGTCTTTGACCTTATACCTTCCTTCTCCTTCAGCAGTCTTCACATCTGTAAGGATGTAAGGAAACTGGGAACTTATTTTGTTGGCTTCATGGATATTCTTTTTGATAAAGATTGGGGTTGTGTTAGGGCAATATCTTGATTATCAGTATTTTGCTGTCTTATATTATGAAGAATAATTAAATTCTTGTTTAATATAATATGAATTGTCTGTATAATGTTCCAGCAACTCAGAAGTCCTTGTTATGTACAGCCCTCTTTTTCATGGGCCACTATAAATGATCTGGTAAAACAGCTGCAGACTATGCAGAGGTAGAAATTCTATAAACATATATTAATTTACTTTAATGTTACACTGTTGACATATGTGGAACCTGACTCATAATCATGTGAAGTAAGGAAGTGAGGCAGAGTAAGTGTCATACTGGCTTTACAAATTTCTGTTAGTATTTCTTTGCAAAACTAAGATATGTGAAGGGCATTTCATTTGTTGAACTTTGATTATATAATCATTGTTTTTCCTTCTGAGAATTTTAAAAAGGTGTGAATAGCTGCAGTTCAACTTTTTCCACCTAAGCTAATAAAGTGAATTGATTTAATAAGGAAATTCTCTTCTTCCTATTCAGTTGACTAGTGTTATTGAGTTCAGGGAACTATGCAATTAATTATGATTCTGTTACGAAAAGAGTAAAATTTTTAAATATTGTAAACAAATTAGAAGAAATATTACTCCTGATAGACTTTGCATTTACTCATTAACTGTTGAAAGAATACAATTTTTGAAAGAGGTTGAAACTAAAAAATGTTATATTAAATAACGAGAAGTTAATTAGAGAGAAATACGTCTGTCAAATGCTCAGAATAGCATAGTATTTAAGTAGCTACCCTCCAGCAGAATGTCCTGTGTGATTTGAAACTCTATGTTTGTCTTTGAATGGACTAAGAAAACCTGGAACTCTTTTTGAGAGTAAAGGTTTTAATGACACTTTTAAAACATGTTTGTCTTGTCATCTGTTCAGGTTTTCTCTGGCCAGTCTCTACCATGGGAATTAATGTGGCCTTTTAGAAGCAGATCTACAGGTAGAAGGAGATGAGGCTAGCAACATGACTTGTATCATCTCTGTGTTTCAGAACTAGCTCTGTGCCTGTACTGGTTCCTCATTAGCAGTTGGAGTGCTCTAGGTACATTCCTGGAATTCATCTGCCTGGTTGGATTTTCCTAAAAGAAATGAATTCCTATGCTCAAGACCACTCCTCAGTGTGAAAACAGTGTCATTAGTAGGGATAATAAAAAAATTTGACTTGCTGTTGAGTCCAGCTAAAAGCACCTGTTCTGTCTACATGTGGAAGAAGTTGAGAATGATGCTTTATAAAGGAAAACCAGTATAAAAAATAACTGTGCTGTTGAGTCAAGAACTCTTCGATAATGCCTAGAAAATAGAGGAGCACCTTTTCCCAGCCCTTAAAGGAGAGAGCTGGAATAGGTAGAGGAGAACAAGGTAGAACCATAGGTGGAGAGGGAGACTGAGAATTGTATTTGTTAAATACTGGATGGTAATATAGGGGAAAGTTCTTCAGGGTGTTTAAGCTCCAAGCCAAGCCAAAGATGGTCCAGTAATTATTCAGTAGGGTAACCAGCATTAGCTTGAGGATTTTGTTCGGTGCCACTTTTTCTTAAGCTCATTCTTTTTTCTTAATAATGAAAACCCCTTTTTCCATAGCAACCAACTTTTAAAAAAATCTTTTAAATTGCCTAGGACCCTCCTAGTATTGCAGCACTGTAACAGTAGGCTCAATTTCTAGAAGTTTTATTTAATATGTTCAAGATGGTGTACCCTGAAATCTAGAGAAATTGCCTGAAGCCACATTGAAAAGCTGATGATTATCTTGAATTGTGCAGCTCTTTGAAAGATGCCTTCAAAAGTAGTAGTCAGTACTTGTAGTTAATCCAAGAGTATATGTTAGAGGTAGACCATGGTCTCTCCTGGGTCTGATTTTGTTCACTATTTTCTTTAATAGCTTCAGTGATGGAATATGGGCATGACTCTTAAAATTGTGGTTTTGCAACAAGCTTGAAGTAGTTTGAGGCATATTGGGAGAGCAATAATGCTGATCTTGATAAATTAGAGGAAGGATCTAAAGTTATTAAGAAGGTTTTCAGTTGAGACAAGCACCAAGGACTCTAGCAAGTAAGAATCTGACAAACTAAAATTTGAGAAATAATTCCATAAGCACTGTTGTCATAGGATAGGCTCATGGGGTTATATTGGACCATCAACTGAATAAAAGACAGCAATATGTTTTCACTAAAGGTGAATTCCAACTTTGGGTTGTAGTCATATGACTTTTAATGAGGAGATATGATTATTTCTTTCTATTCTTCATGAGTAGGATTCACTAGGAGTAGGATGAGGGGAACACAATTTAAGAAAAACCTAGACAAACTGAATAGAGTTCAGTTTTGATTATTCTGAGGGAAAAATAGAAATTTCAGGGGGGACATGATAGCTTTCCAGTATGTAGGATGTTCTTATATGGGTGATTAAAATTTAATCATAATCATTGGCTAAACATGATTATAACTGTAAACCACATCAGGCTATATCATGTACTGTGTTGCCTTTGGCAATGCATAAATAGCTGGATGAGAGGAACGGTGAGGGGTTAAGGGAGTAGTGCCAACCCAAAGTGTGGGTCAGTGCCAGGGAAGTGCTTGGAAAGGTGCTGTAGACCACCCACATTGTCATGTATTGAGTTTAATGGGTGTGAGAATTTATAGCATAAATCCTGATGACCTGCAGTGAGTTAATTCTGTAGCTTTTAATGGTCTCTTATAATATCTGTGTGTTGTGGAGGATTGCTTTTAAAACCTTGATGAGTATTACGTGTGGGTGTTCGAAGACTTGTTTAGATGTCAGTCTGATTGGAGCTCTGTTTACAATATTGCTCCACCCATCTTTTGGGAAGCTAGGTTACTCTTTGACTAGAATGCAATCCTGCTTTTCCTATAATAGTTCCTAATGTGACGTGCAAATATCAGTTCAAGGCTTTGCTCAAGCAAGGATTTTTAAATTTAAATAAGGGCTTTATTTTTCTTTAGATCATCCTTTTTCTACTGCCTTTTTATTTTTTAACTCGACTTCAGTATTTTTTATCTCTTGGCTTCATTAGGAGATCATTGTACTGTGCTTTAGCATGATTTACTCACATAGTTGAATATAACTGGAACAGTAGAGGAAATATTATTTAATATTATTTGACTGGAAAGTCAATTACTGATCTCCATCACTGAAATCTGTGGAATGCCAAAGACTATCATCTCCCAGATGGCTGAATCCTTAGAACTGAAATTATAAGGAAAAGAATGAATATTTTGAAATAGGAAATAGGACTTACAAGTTTTATGTAATATTTGAAAGTTATATAATAAGTTAGAGCTAGAAGGCAAGATGACTGCTCGTCTAGTTTTCCCCTTTGCATTGCAATGGCGTTAAGGGATTCAGAACATCAGTGACAAAGCTTATCTGAACTCTTAAACCATGAACAATATCTTGATAGCTGTTACAGTAACTTAGTGTCCTTCTGGAAGATTTTCCTAATGTTTGGTATACATTGTTTTTCCTGAAAATCAGAGTGTTTTATTGTGAATATTGAAAATGGAGCTGGCAATTAATGATGTTCTTTAAGTGTTTAAAACTTTGGAATGTTTTTAGTACATTCCTCCAGTAACTTTTATGAGATAAAATGCTAGCATTCTTTTTATGAATAATTTTCAATCTTACTCTTTGTTTTCTGAAATGGAATACATTTCCTTTAGTCTGAGCAGGAAGTATATTGTACTATACTCTGCCCTATCTCAATTTCAAGACCCTTTTCTACCAATTTGTTGCCTAACCAGATGTTTCCCGTTCTGTATTTATATAGAATCAGCAAGGTAGTATTTACTTGACTGCATATTTTGTTTTCATAGTTTTTTAATTTATCAAGTTGAATATAATTTTACTTTGTATAATAGTGTTTCTACCAGTTGGTTTATGAATAGTTGAATGCAAATTTTAAGGGCAATGTTCTTTACCACATTATGTATGTGCACCTAGA